ACCACATAGAGCAGGGGTGTCAAACTGCCGGTCCATGAGCCGGATGCATCCCGCCAAAACCGTGCCCACCCCATTGCCGGCAATGGGAAAAAAGTCACGCTACGTCACGACATGTCATGTGACCTCGCGAGTTTGACATCCGTGACATAGAGGCAGCTGTCAAGCTGTTTACTTCTGCCTCAAGCTGAAAATAACTTTTGCCAACCACAATACTTACAATCTCTTACAAGATTAACAAGAAAGGTATAACAATTTGAGGAACTGAATTATTTTCTCAATATGCTGCCAACATATCCATAGCATACATCAAGTTGGAATCCTCATTTTCTTTTTTTCTATCTTTTTGTGAACTGACAGAGGACTCTTCCCTGATGACATACAGGTGCTTTTTACAAAACTCTCCTTTTTATCAGCCTGGGACCTGACCATCATAGCAATAGGTACTTACCACATTACCTGATTAATCTCTGAGAAGAAGCTACATACACATACAGATGTTTCCTGTGATCACACTTATCACACTCTCTTTTTCCATTTATTCTGTCTTTTTGTATGCAATGGCCATATGGTTCAAAGTTGCCCAGTTTCACTCCCATGGGGTACCATTTCTATGACTTCTTGACCATCTTCAAATAATACAACCTCTAAAACATTTTACTTAGAGTCAGCCTATTTTATTATTAACAATTTTCAGTTCATCATCTACGGGAATTTTAGAACGCAAATCCTCTCCAGGCCCCTTCAGGTAAATTGAAAATACAGTAATGAAATAAGAAGGCAATATACAATATGATAGAATTCTTACTACAGTTCAGATGGAACAGCTATGAAGTCAGTTTCATCAACTCAATGGGTAGTCATAAGTGCAGAGTGAGATGTAGATTCCAACTTTGTTTGTTTATCCAATTTAGAGACTATCCATCTCACTCACAACTTCCCTGATGTGAATGAAATGGTTCATGTCCACAGAACATAAATTTCCCATTTCTCTCAGCAGCCTCTTGAAATCTCTTTGACAGTTAAGGGACTCCTTAAAAGTAGGCTGGGATATGGAGAGGGTCAGTGAATTAAAGGAATAAAAATAAAGTTAAAATGTGAGATTAAAAATGCTTCCATAAATATAAGCAGAATCTTGGCCCATGCCATAGAGATGAGCTGCTTTTGAGCTGTAAACTCCCTCAAATCTGAAAATAAGTTTGAATACAAATCTACGTGTTTCTGAGCAGCTATTAATAGGAATGCACTGTTAAAACTTTTCTTTACTCTGAAACAGTTAATGTGAAGATCATTTTTTTTGGCTTAGTTAAATAATGCAACTTCCAAACAAACTTCAGACAAGTGAGCTGAGATAGAGATAAGTGTTAGGGTTTCATGATCCTGTTAGACTGCAAAAGAATAGATAATTTTCCAATATACACTCTCTTTTCTGCTATTGTTATTAAACACTAAGTCAATTAGGCACTTTGTTTTACTTTTTCTTTAAAGGGTCCCAAGCCTTCCTCAGGTTTCACATTTTCACTGCATAGCTGATTATTTAGAGAACAGGCTTGTTCCAGACAGCTTTAATTAAACTGTACTGCAAAACCAGATATAGATCAATGGAAATGATCCATAACAAGGGGCTAATCATGTATTTAGCAGCATTCAGTCCAGTTGAATCACCTTCTCCTATTTCTGTGGCTTTACGTTCATGTGGCAAAGGCTGAATGTGTGCTTGGTTGTGGGTTCCCCCCGCCTTTAATCTGTCCCATTAGAGGCCATATGCTTGGGCTTCAAGGGAGACAAGGCCTGTCTGCAATCTGCCAGGGATTTAGAAACATCGATAATTTGTGAATAGTCATGTTGGTACTGGTCGAAGGGTTAAGTGCTCAGCACACCAGGGGCGCCTCTTTGGGGACTGGAACTCTTAGTTGACTGTTAGGAACTTGATCCGCTGTGAAGCGCCTTTAAAGCACATGCAGCAATGGAGCTTTATTAGCTCTGGGATTTAAAGACACGTGTTAAATGATATTACAGTATATTAGGTTTAAATGCAGAGGATATATCAAAGAAAGGAACATAGTGATACCATGCAGGGGGGAAAAACACATGTTCTATCAACAATTGTGTTCTCTTGCTGAAACAAGTATTTTCTTCCTCAGCTAAGAGGATAGTATTGCAACTAGTCTTCAGGTTGTTGTGGAGAAAATAAGCAGGAATATTAGATATGTTTGCTGCTTTGATCAACTAACTAACTAACTAACTAACTAACTAGATAGATAGATAGATAGATAGATAGATAGACAGATAGACAGACAGACAGACAGACAGACAGACAGACAGACAGACAGACAAATGGGAGAAGAGAAGAGAAGAGAAGAGTTGGAAGATAATAATCTTCTTGCTGCTGCTGTTAGTGTCTGCTCCATCTAGAAAACAAAAGCCATATTCCTAAAGTACGTACACACTTTATATAATAATTTGTGCAGACTTCAGCTAAACTATCTGATCAAGTCAAATATGTTCATTGATTTTCCTTTCAAGTATGGAGCAATCAGTGTAGGTACTTTTGTGATTTAATAGACAGTTTCAAAGTTTAAAATGTAAATGCTATATTGCCTACCACAAAAATTCACTTTGAATGTTTCATTTTGCTTGATAACTGTTGAAAGTAAGATGTGTTATCTTTTTTATGCAGTGATTTTGTTATTTGCTTTATTATATGTTTAAGGACTCTTGTTAAATAATTTGAGGGGGGAAATAGCAGTCTTTTAGAAAAATTGATGTCTGTAATACACTTTAGTGAATAGCTCCCATCCAGTGACAGTTATGGCCAAGATCCAATGAAAATAGATAATGAAAGTACAAGGGATTTCACTGAAATGAGGGCAATTTTTGCTAAAGGTGGCCTTTCTACCTCATAATTATTTAACAAATATATAAGAATTGTAAGCGCAGATACATTTCCAGTTACCTCATTGTTCCAATACTGCTTAGTTAATGAGAATATTGATGGAATACATAAAATGAGTATTTGCTTTGAACATGGAACATGAAGTCCTTTTGACCTCTATGGTGATTATTGATCTTGGGTCTAGCTTTGTCAATATTCACCTCTGATATCAACCATTTCCATCTGTTAACAGCTTTCTAGCATTGCAACATCGCATGAGAAGACATTGGACGATGATGTGACTGCTCTATTCTTTAGAAAGCTGAAATCGGTGTAAAAATGCTGCACAAATTGTTCACAACCTATAGATAATGGGGAAAAATAATCTTTTGCCTCTTGAATCCAGTGGCATTTATTTCAAAATAGACCTGTCTTAAAAGCATTGTGGAAAAAACAGGAAATGGTGTGTGTGTGTGTGTGTGTGTGTGTGTGTGTGTGTGTGTAGTACATATTATCTAAGAGAAGCTTTTGTTTCTCCTCTATATGAATTAACATTAAGCTAATAAAAAACAACAAAATAATGTTTTTGTTCCCCTGCCCCCCAAAAGCTAACCATGAAATCACTGTTCAGCACTACAGCCACTGATCTACAGTGTGTGCAAGACACTGTAGTGTTGCAGAAAAGAATTAGACAGTAAGATGTATAATGACTAGTAAAAAATAATAATAATTAGGGAGTCTCAGGCTGCTATAGTGAAGAATAGTCCAACGTGACTCAGATCCCACTGAAGAGGAATTGGCAAAGGAGTATCTGTATAAGGACAGTGTCACTTTTGGGACCTATTAAAAACACTCAGGGAAATGCCCTGGACAGAAATACGCAAGAACCATTACCTAGGCAATAGGGGCTGAAACATTATTTAAGTCCTGAGAAGCAAGACAGTATTCATAAGCAACACAGACAACCCTGTTGCACCAGGGTTTAAGGATAGAAGGAAAGCATAATCAGATCAGGAAATCAACTCACGATCCAGTGTCCACTGGAGTTGGACAGCCAATAAATATAAATAAATTACTAAATAATGCATTCAGGAAGACAAGAAGTATATTTGTTGAGATAGATTATAATAACAGAATCTTGCAAGCCTGGTTGCAATTATAGAAGAGGTTTGGAAATAAAAGAGATGAAGAAGATAAATGACATGCAGCAAGGAGAATGAATGTTACATGATGATGGATGCACTTGGAAGACTGGGTTAGGGACAGATCATTATGGAGAAAATCTAGGTGGTCGCTAGGAGTCAACAATTATTTGATGGCACATAGTATTCTTTATTTTTATTTATGTATTTATTTTTGCATTAATGACACAAATGAATTGAGTTCTACCTGCAGTTTATTTTATTGTATTGAAATTGTTGAAAAAATATATCCCATTCTCTAAGCACTAAGCATTTCCATAGAAATCAAATTCATAATTAAGTCCTGAAGAGAACAAATCATGTATGACATTACAAACATCCATGTCTACAGCTGACCATCTGTAACAGCTGTGGAAAAATGAAGTTTTAATTATCATTTTCTTTCTTTGCATTCTGCCTGTCCCAGGGCAGGAGCAAGAACAGAGGACAGGTATTTCAACTCAGCAAGTTTAAGATGTGTGGACTTCAACCAATTGAGAAATTCTGGAAGCTGACATCCACACGTTTTACAGTTGTTGAGGCTGAGAAACACCATTCCCCAACCATTTATATTCACAGGGAGCAAATAATCCCATAATTGAAAATATCTAGGAACAGCTTAAGACTCAGACTACTCACCCTCCTAGATCGTGAACTACTAAGCTTATCTTCATAAACATCTATCGTGACACTATTTTTTACGTGGGTTAACTTATCCGCTTTCTGGTTTTATGCCTATTTAATAAGAACCAGATCTCACTTGATTGGATGGGTTGTATTCATGCATACAGCTGCAGTCTTAACAACTTCAAATTCTGTTGTGTATAATAGTATACAAATATAATATACAAATATATTACACAATATAATAAATAAATATGATGTGTTCGTACATGAAATATTGAAAGCTTGAATGAATGTGTCATTGCATCTCTTTTATATTATAGGACTACAAAGACACCTTGAAGAACAAATGGGCCTAAAAGTACCAGCTTTAATTATGGTACCTGTAGTGGACTTGCCTGGAAACAAAATGATTCAAATAGCATGTTGGCTCAGCCAGTAACTAAGGATTATACATCACGAACAAGAAAACATCAATAATGGAGTTATTGATGGAGTTAGTACTAACTACTCTGTGTATTATCTGATGTTAATAAGTACATTTAAACTTAGAATATTTGTCAACAATTTTTTCTAGCTGCCTTCTGACAGAATTCAGAAATAATGTCTGTAATTCCAGAATTCTCTAGAATCCTTGTATTTTTCATATTAAAATCAAAATTATGATGCATCATTTTGGTGTGGTTTTTACAGAGAATTCATCAAACAAAAGTTTTTAAAGTGTCTTTTTTATTTACATATTGCAATAATTTAGTGCAAACATTCCATATATTTCCAATATGTACTTATAAATATTTTTAACTTCTATGAAATATATACAAGTGTTTTCTTAAAATGAAGTTAACCTTCCATTTAATGAATCAAATATAAATTAATTGTTGCTGAGGCCATCATTTTATTGTGGCACTTGCAGTGAATTATCCTGAGCAGGATTCTACGTATTTGTTTAAAAAAAAAGTCTCTCTATTGTTTTAATCAACTCCTGCAAATGTTTGCCAAATTAAAGACTTATTTTGTAAATTGGGGAATTGGGCTTCAATGTATACATCATAAAACTTTCTTCTCTACAAACACTCTTTTCTTATGCATAAATACAACATGCTTTAATATAATGTAGCTTGGACATATATAAAGAATTTGATCTTTCCTATACATGACACGTATAAGCAATTGATGGATGTTTCTAATATAACATATATACATATATGTACGTATACATATATATGCATATGTATGTGTCTATACACACACACATATAATACATACACACACACAAACTCACATATAAAAATATTCTTGTTTTTTAATCTTCTGCAAATGTAGAAGTTATGTATATTCCTTTAAGAGATGATTAAACCAATAGAATCTTTTGTTGAAGGAGTAGATTGGAGATTGCTTAAAACAGGGATAAGTTAGTTTTAATTATTAGTGAAATAATGAAAAGAAGAGCAGACATATGACAACAACTAGTATAGGAACCAGTTTTGGAATTCAAAATGATGATACTGAAATAGTGGATAGTTTCTATTTTTTTAGGATTGACTATCAACAATAAATGGGCTAGCAGTAAGTAAATACACTGCAGAATAATACTTAATAAGATAATGAAGATTTTTGGAAAGTTATTCAGGTGCCTAAGATGTAACCATTCTTACAAAGCTTAGAATCATCCAGACAATGGTTTTCCCTGTCACACTCTATGGGAGTGAAAGTTGGACTTTTAAAAAGCAGGATACAAAGTATATTGATGCATTTGAATTTTGCTGTTAGAAAGGTTACTGAGGAAGCCAAACAAATAGAACAAAAAGAATAAATCAGTCTGGAGTTCTCATTCAAGATACAAATGACCAAGCTCAAATCATCATATGTTGGACACATTGTGTGAACACCTAGCTCTCTTATAAAGCTGGGAGAGATAGAAAGAGAAGAAAAGAATGGCCAGACTGTAATTGAGTCTATCAAGATGGATAGACTCAATTACAGTGATGAGTACACTACTAGAAGATCTGAAGGCACAGGTTGAGGTCAGATCATTCTGGAGAAAATCTGTCTGGGTGCTCACTAAGAGTTGACATCAGCTTGATGGTACTTCAAGTGTAGGTTGGTATGCACCTGCATTCCATTCCCAGCTGGTTGACCTTGAAGCCGTGTCTCAGGGAGATACAGTGAACTTTAAATTTCCCCTGAACCCCCCCCCCTTCCATCCAGTCTCCCTCCCTAGAGTTCATGGCAGACTGGCACAGAGCAAAGGTGAAGCACAAGCATGAGGTGGCAGCTGACACAAAGAGATAATAGTAGAAGAAGCTTCATCATAATCAGACTGTCAGTACTTCTAGTTAGACCAAAAGAAGGCTAAAGCTATTCATTAAGATTGGCAATAATAACAAAATCTTGAAAGAATGATTATGCTCATCTTATTGCATACCAGTTTTCTCTGCCTTGCATCTCACCAACTAAACAATCCAGGATACTCAGAATGCTTATTTTAATACTGATTTTTTTTCTTGTTAATAACTAATTTATACTTATGACCAAACTACTTCACTTTTCAAATGTATTACTCTTATTACTCTTTCTACGGCTTCATATCTTTTGGTTAGTAAAATGAGTCTGAGAGTGATACAGTGTTATTATTTGTTATAATCTCACATTTTGATCCAGTATTTGTTGCCAAAATTGTCCACAAATGAATTGCAGTATAAAAAAGAAATGAAAATTAAACTTTTAGGTAAGTGGGTTGGCTCACACATGTTCTTGAGAAAATCCAGGATGCAGTATACAGCCACATTCATTTCTGTAATAAGAAACAGTTTAATGCAAGGGTGTCCAACATTAGCAATTTTAAGACTTGTGGATCTGAACTCCCAGAATTCCTCTGGCTGGGAATTATGGGAGTTGAAGTCCACAAGTCTTAAAGCTGCCAAAGTTGGACACCCCTGGTTTAATGAGAAGCTGTTTGCATCTGGAGACTATACCGACAACACAAAGCTCTGTACTGACATTGAGAGAAATATCAGAAAAACATAGCTACTTTTTATCCCAGGATTGTGTCTCTCATACTAGATCACTGCCAATGTAGACGAAATGTACTCCTTTGCAAAAGATCTGAGATTTCTGATGTAACTCTGAGGATGTGAAATGAACTCTGGTTGCAGCATATTTAGCTGCACTATTGAACAGGGGCCATATAGAGCTTCCTGTTATATTCATGCAGATGAAAGAGATAGAAATGTGAAAGTGTATTAGGCAGGCAAGTATATTTGCCTATTCCAATGTATCAGGTTAACTTTCAGCTAGATAATCTCAAAACAATTATTCAGGTTCTCCAGAGATCCCTGTGATTCATAGATGAAAATGAGTAGGATTACAGAATGTTTGAATGCTAAAGTTAATTTATCCTACTGATTTATTTAGATACTGAAAAGCATAAAGAATCAGATAAGATCCCTGTAGTCCCAGGTCATGAGATGGAACAAAAATCTTCCACCACCTGCACCAACCTCTGGAAAGTTGCAACATCATGCTTCTTTCCTCAATCCAATCCCAAAAATTCAGAGTTGCAGACCACCACAGCCCGTTCCAAATGTAAGCCATTAAGACAACCAAGGTTTTTCTTCTCCTAAACCAATCATATGAGACCATTTAACATTAAGAAATTACCATTTTACGATTCCAACAATAAGGAAGGGCAGGAAATGTAGAGAATGAACAGGAAGATCATGATGGAGATAAGTTACCAAAGGACAAAAAGGAAAATGATGCTTGAGTAAGATTATGAAAATGTCTATGACACCATTATAATTCACATGAATATGAAAGAAGTAGGATAGGATGCACAATCAGTGTTACAATGCTGGCCTGTCATTATATGTAATGGTATTAAATACATAGGTAAACTTTGATATGGCAAAAATGAGTTTCTTTGCAAGCCTGTATGCATTGTCTTACTATTTAGGTTTCAGTCCCTTCTAAGCATCTTAATTGTACATATTTTGCTGGCTCAGAAATAATAAAAAGTCAATGCAGTGCTCTAAGAACTAGACCTGCAAGTGAGTCTGATTGATTTCAGTTCTGAATAAGTATACATTGATTTGCACAATTTCACTGCTTTTATCTACCACTCCCTTAAGTAAGTTGAAAGAGTATATCTTTTGATACATCAAAAGATAATATTCTTTTTGAAAAGCTCATGACACTATGTTTCTCTTTAAAACTTTTCACAGATGTTCGCTGTAATATATCAGCCAGGCTTACTGAGTTTTTAAATAGAAACAAGCAATTTGTTCAATAGTGTTATGAAAGTGGGTACAGTTTCACAAAGAAATCCAAGCCTTACATAACAGAAGGAAATAATTTAACATTTCTGTTAAGGAAACATTCATTATCAAAGCCTGTTGTAGAAAAGGTTATTTTTTCAATGTCATTGTAATCAGCTGTGGATATAGTGATGTTTAAATAAGGTAAGTGATAAAAGCGTAATATTTAAAATGTTTTTAATCTTTTTAAGAAACCCCCCTCACACACACACACACACACACACACACACACACACAAAGCTATGCAATAAAATAGAATTTTATGGAGAGGTTTTTCATCTGAGAAGTGCAAATACTTATGCCACAATAGGACATGAGCTCTGAATACAGTACTTTTAAAATAGACAATGCAAAGTTTTGTTCCAGTTTCTTTGATTGTATAAACCTTCTGGAAAATTTACAGTAATTCGCATGGGAAGCTACCCAGCATGCATACAAAGATTTCCAGGTTGCACTGCAAGCATGAGGAAAGAGTAGTTTGTAACTTGCTTTATTTTTTCAGTCTCTGTTCTTCTCTCCTTTCATTTTGCAGTGCCTCAAGAGAGGGAAATTAGGTAAAGATCATCTTAATGTTATGTGGGGATGAATTAATGTAATAATCAACAGGCCCAAATAAACTCCCTCTAACTTTGAAGTGTTCTCTCAAGGTATTTAAACCTACATTCCTGTGCATGCTGAGCTGGCAGTAAATCCCATGGAACTTTGTGAAAATGACTTCTAATTAGGTACACACAAGTCTGCAGAATAAATCTTTAATTGTAACAAAGGAGGTTAAAAAAATGAGGAAAGTTAAGAGGATTTGACTTTATGATTTGGCCATTTGGCCACAGTGATCGCTTCTGTGCTATCATGGTCTAAGATGGACCAAGTATTCATTCTCATTCACAAGTTCATTCAGTTTGAAGGAAAAAAAAGAAGTGATTCCTGTGTAGCAGTGTTTCTCAGCCATTACTAATTTTAAGATATGTGGACTTTGATTCCCAGAATTCCCCAGCCATTTGCATTTGCTGTCTGGGGAATTCTAGGAGTTGAAGTTCACACATCTTAAAGTTGCTAAGGTTGAGAAACACTGCTATCTATATAAATAAAATGTAAATGTTCATTTGTTCAAAATCTTAAATCTCCGAACGTTCTTCACCGATTGCTTTGAAATTTTGACACAACGTTGCATTCGAATACGCGCATGTTTTTATATACCTACTATTATATAGATGTCACACCTGTGACAGGTAAAACATGCTTTTTTGAAAAACAGTGCCATCTGTTGGACGTAAAAGCAGCACACGCTTTTACCAGACTGAGCCACAGCAACACGTGGCCGGG